ACTTTTACAATTATTACTTATCCTTTCTGAAGACATTTTTTACAATTATTACTCAGCCTCTCTGAAGACACTTTTACAATTATTAATTATCCTTTGTGAAGACAATCTTACAATTATTACTTAGTCCCACTGAAGTTATTTTACAAATATTACTTAGACTCTCTGAAGATATTTTACAAATATAACTAAGCCTCTCTGAAGACACTTTTACAATTATTACTTAGTCACTCTGAAGGCATTTTTACAATTATTACTTAGCACCTCTGAAGACACTCTTACAATTATTACTTAGTCCCACTAACGACACTATTACAATTATTACTTAGCCGCAATGAAGAATTTTACAATTATTACTTAGCCCCATCTGAAGATATTTTACAAATATTACTTAGCCTCTGTGAAGACATTTTTACAATTATTACTTAGCCCCTCTGAAGATACTTTTACAATTATTACTTAGCCTCTCTGAAAATACTTTTACAATTATTACTTAGCCTTAATGAAGAGTTTTACAATTATTATGTAGCCTCTCTGAAGATATTTTTACAATTATTACTTATCCTTTCTGAAGACACTTTTACAATTATTACTTAGCCCCTCTGAAGACACTTTTACAATTATAACTTATATATTTGAACGTAATATTTAAGATCTTGCTCTGTCATATACTGTATACACACCAATGCAAATATCACATATACACACGTTCCTTTACATGTTAAATCACTCATACAGGTACCCATGTGCCGATATACACAGGTAACTTCATGTATTAACACCTACCTAAATATCAAAATTTTTTCCAATTTAAATATTTTATCATCAATAATGATTATTAAAGGATAATATATTTCAATTTAAATTAAACTATTAATTTAAAAAATTCTCCTCCATATTATAAAGAATTTTAAACTCACACTTCCATTTGGAGAATATTAAATGATATTATAATTAATATTCTCCAATAATAACTTAACTAAAATTTAAGTAAAAGAGACTACCTATCTAGAAACAGTCACGAGTTAAATTCATGAACAAAATTCAAACGGATAGAGATGTCAACTTAATAATCAATAATAAAAATTATTTAAAGAGATTAAAAAAAAGATTACTAGAAATAAACTTATATTTTAAAATAAAATTTTATTCTTTTAATGTACTTTCTATGAATATTTTTCTAATCGACTATTTCATAGAAAATCCCCATAATTTAAAAAACAAATTAAATCACTAACAAGCATCAAATTAAATTATTTGTAGACAATTTAGAGACATTCAAATTTATATCAAACATTATAATCTTTATGAACCCCCAAAATAACACTTTCAAAGTAAAACAAAATAACAGCGTCTGTTTCTAGCCATTTTTTTACAAAGAAAATTAGTGACACCTTCTCTCATAACTTCCTTCTCCCTTTTTCTCTCTATGAGTTTTTTCTTCTCTACTCCTTCGATATCAATATATAATTTCCGTTAAGTTAACCGTTTAAATGTGTCAATATCTGCTAACTCACTCATGTCTTCTCTCTCCCCCCTCACTTCCTCACTTCGTTAATTTACATATGTTTAATACGGCCCGTCAAAAATGTGTAAATTTTCTTTTCATTTTTTGTTTGGAAGTAAAGTCTGATGATCCGCAGTCCTTTAAAAGGGCTATGGTGAAATAATTTATTACATGGAACTTTAAAGTGGTCTGTTGTTATTTAAATTATTTGCTCTATTGAGGTCTCTGGATTTTCTCCTCCTTAGGTTTACCGATACGGATTACCTTGTTTTTCGTAACTATATATATATATATATATATATATATATATATATATATATATATAGAGAGAGAGAGAGAGAGAGAGAGAGAGAGAGAGAGAGATTGATGGATAAATAGATAGATTGATAGATTGATAGACAAAAATGAAGAGACTTAGATAATCAGAAAGATTCACATAAGAATATATATACACGTTGTATAAAAAAAAAAAAAAAAAATATATATATATATATATATATATATATATACTGAGATAAATAGATCAAATCAAGAGAAAGTTTTGATGGAGCGAGACAAAAAACAGGTCTGAAGCCCAAAACGATATAAATATATATATATATATATATATGTATATATATATACAGAGGAGAGAGAGAGAGAGAGAGGAGAGAGATAGGGTTGATATATATATGGATAAAATGCAGAGACAGAGAAAATGAGACAGAGAGCGATTAAATATATAAGTATATATATGAATAGATATGGTATAGATAGAGAGAGAGGGACAGACAGTGATATATATGGATAAAATGCAGAGATAGATAGATAGATAGATAGATAGATAGATAGATGTAAGATTTGCTTATTTAAATCGGAAGTGTATCCCTATTGACTTAAGAGTTGTGCTCGGGTAGCAGATCCTCGTAATACTCACACTAGCGTTTTGATTGGATGGAAAATATTAATGATTGTCATTGCCATTTTTATTTATTTTTTGCATTACACTTTCGATCTTAGGCGTTCATACAAGAGAACTGTTTGCCGGCATTCGAAGAATAAAGATATTAGATATATATGCTTACAAAAAAGCAGAAAAACAAACAAGTGGTTTCCTTTCTAGCCTAATTGTTAGTTTTCCTTTTTCAATCCCTTCTTATTCCACTTGTTAAGAGGATTTCAATTAAGAGAGTTTTTTTTATTCCAGTAACTGTTACTTTATGAAGCTGAACCTGCGTAGACGATTTCCTGAACACTACAATATGAACTTTTCCCAGACAATCGCCAATCGTTAGATATCATCGATTCGAATCTTACTACCGCCTCTTACATCATATAACACACATCATTTAGCAACAATCTACTTAGAGTGGCTCTCAAGCTTTGTACTGATTGATGCTTACTTAAAAAAAAGAAAAGATAGTAAAACATTGTTCTCCTGACTAAAAACCGGTGAAGAACGCGCCACTTTTATTATTAGAGAAATATGTTGGCTTTCATAATGTTTTTGTGTTAGGTGTGCCGAAAAGCTAGTCCTGTTTTTATTAAATTTAACAAAAACCAAAAAATGAAAGTTGCTATTTAATATGCTTCGAGGTGTTTCACTGAAACCTTATTAAATCTTGATCAATACTTCTTAAAAACAAATGAAATATTTAAAGACTTTAATTACCCCAGCACCTGGGTAAATATTTGCTTTTATTTAATAAAGCTTAACGAAAGTGGATTTCTTTAAATTTATGAAACTTTGCTCACGGCAATGAAATCAAACTGCTTTATGGAAGCTAATTAATATTAAGTGAAAACCAGAATTTATTACATTGCTGAAAAAATGTTCAATATTTGAACGAGGTATTTTCTAATTCCTACCGTAATGTCACCCCCATCTCCGGCGTTGTTTGTTCAGCTGAACAACACGGTGTATAAATGGTCGAGAATTGAGTCTCATCAAGAGTTAAGTTGGGTCTTTGCGAGAGATGCATGGGAGAATATAGTTTTTACTTTCAAGGAACCAGTAGTTTTGATTTATTTAATTATCAATAGGATACAAATACATTTACATAGAACACGTGGCGTCTACTGCTAGCCCAGAACAGCTCAATAGAATGTTCGACATAAAAATGCAAAAAGAGTCGCAACATGTTTATTTGAAGAAATGTTTTATATAAATCTATAACATATATAAATATATTTCTATTTAATAGGCGACAGAAACAGTGTGAACTGCTAACAATAAATAGGATTTTAAGCGCGACTGTCTCGTAAATATTTAAAGTTAAGTTATACTCTTTGCTTTTCTCTTCTTTCATCTTTATATCTTGGTGGTTTTTGTTATTTGGCAAAACTCTTCGTGGTTTTCAGGCGCCAAACTCTAGGCTCAGAAGTAGGATGTTCTTCTTTAAAATTTGAAGACAAAAATTCGCTTGACACCATTTTGAACCCTTTGAGCCGTGTTCTCCTGAACAAGTTTAACCCTTCTCTCTGAGCTCCCGAATCAAAATTCACAAATGATTGCTATAAAATCTTTCACGGTAGATATAAAAATACTTACAAAAAATATAAGCATTATATTTAACAGTGAGGCAGTATGATTGCATGCCTTCACTTTATGGCCAGAATTCTTTCTTTGTGTCCCAGTCTACCCAGCAGCCTTGATGCACAAGCAGCGCTGGCTTAGTGAGCAGCGGCCTGAAGAGTTCACAGCCTTGACAGAATAGTCTTTGTAGGCCATACTTGCGTTTTTCTGCTTGAACTATTGTATGTATAAGAGCATATTGCACAGAGGTTATTAGTGAAGCCATCTTCTAGTTTCTTTGGAAGGTTGGGGCCGACGTTTTGCAGGTATTTCAGAGCATTGATTGACTGTCTGCGCACTGCAGCTGATTGGAATGCACCTACCGGATTCACACAGTATTGATCTAGGAACTTTATGAAGCTAGGGGCTTTGTGCTTGCTGGATGAAAGTTGCCTCGAACAATACATATCAATTGTAGATGGCCCACCTGACAACATGACGAAAAAACGTCTTGGCCAGCGGTGATGAGATCGTGTCTTGTACAGACGTGTCTTTTGGTCATTGTTGTCAGTGCATCCATCTAGTGGCTGTAGTCACTTACCAGCTGAGGTATTTAGATCTGGATTACTGTTCCATCTTTGTTTCTATTGTCATCAGTTCCAATTTTCAGGTGCCGTGACATGTTGAGAAGAAAGGGTTGGGCTTTCTATTAATCCGAACCCATTGCCACGACGCCACCATTGCATTATAACTCACTGTCACAACAATTTTTCATTTTCATTATTTTCAAATTTTGTGCATATTTCTCTCTGTTGGTCCTGGCTGTTCCTCTAGCGAGACTATCCTACACTGTCAACAAGTATTGGAAAAATTCACACTGTTATAGTATCTTTCCATTGCATGAGTGTGATGCTTTCCTTAGGCGTTGCCAATCATTGCCAATCATTCCAATTCCATCTATTTCCCGTGCTGTTTTTTCCAGTGTAGATCTCCGCCCCACTTATGTATCCAGTTTCTCCTTCTCAGATCATGATTGAGTTCACAGCAAATTTTGGATGGCTTGTCTTTGATGTATTCTTTGATGACAAATTTGTTATTGATTGGAATTATTCTTTTGTTAAAAGTGAGGTGTTATCTGGTCACATAATAATATCTGAATTTCTCCAAGAGGGAATTTAGCATTGGTCTCGCCCAGTAGATGGCATCCGCTTTGTCAGTTGTAGCAGCAGTTTCATCTATAACATGAATAAAAGCCCAGATGGAAAGATATCTGCCTTTTGGATTTACTTTTCGAAAACTTGGCGTTTCTGACAGAAAGTTCTGTCCATTTGTTTCGCCAGTACTCCCTTGTTTTCATTTGCAATCTCAACCTAAGGAATACTTTTTCTTCTGCTTCATTCAGTTTAGCTTTGAATAACTTGTCGTAGTAGTCAGAATTTGTTTACTTGATCTGATCTGCGCACTTGTTTGTTTTGTTTACAAAGATTTGCCAGAACTCGTCATCCAGGTATAATTTGACGTAATCAATGGCGCAAAAGCGTTTGGTGATATTTTCTGGATCTTTGCTCCGCATTCGGAATCATCAAACACGATGTTATTCGTCGCATATAGCTAGATTATTCTGACCATTTTGATCTCTTACAGCTTCGCTAAAACAACCGGAGTTTGTGAGGACACGCCTCCTTTGATCAAGTGATTCTGCATGCTTAGTTCCATTTTCACTATCTGCAGCAAAATCATCCAAGTCAAATTCAATTTCACTATCAGAATAATCGTTGTCATACTCTAGTTCCAACAAATAATGCCATTATGAAAAGGAAAATTCAACATTACGCATTTCATTCCTTGAAAGGATTTCTTCAAATTAATATTTGTCATATCCGAAGGAGCGTATTATATACGAACAATGAGAATAAAACGCAACAAATGACGATTAAAATTAATATTCATCGAATGATTTGTAGGTTAATGTACCTTTAAAATTTTTTTTGCGAGGGATTTCGCCATTTTATATCATAAACTTTACTAATCTATATTCAATAATCATCAAGAATTATATTATTTAGATCGTCCGGTTTGAAAATGCAACGTCTATAACCTGAAGTAGGCCGTAGTGTACAAAGGCCAAAATTTCGTGAATATGAAAATAAAGATGAAAACAACAGCCTGACCAATGTAGATAATGTAAATTGTTATAATACCACATCTCTAAAATTTAGATAAAATATAAATATTTGAGTATTCTTTTCATATAAATTGAATCTATATATATATATATATATATATATATATATATATATATATATATATATATATTGTTGTGGGGCTCTCCACTTTTTACATAAGATGGACTCGTCCAAAGTATACTTATACAAACAGAGAGAATACCTGCTGTTGAGATACGTTGAGATACGAGGAGATAAGTTGAGACAGGATGAGAGATACGGAGACAGACACAGGGTGTTCTCAGAGAGTTATACAAGAGTTCAGAGAGAGAGATGATTACGGCTTTACTTACAGAGACTTGTAAATATACTTTCTACTAACCCGCATTCCTGGACTACTAATCTTCACTTCAAGTCTGTACACTTATTTTTCTCAATTACTGGAGTTGTTTATTTATTTGTGCAGGATTCCATTCACGGAATCCACAACTTATATATATATATATATATATTGATTTTTCCTTGCGACTTAAAGTTTTATGTAGATGCTCAGTCTGTTATACTGTGACGTCAGAACCAACAGGCAGTTCAAAGGACATGATACTCAAATCTATATTTATTTAACCTTATTTGGATTATCGTATATATTGCAAAGAACAGAGATGGATAGAAAATTGATCGTTACCAATATGTATATAACGTTGCCATTTAAGGCGTATGTATGTGTTAATGAACAGAGACAGGTTGGTGGTGGATTTAATCCTCTACCGCCACCAACCATATTTATTGAAAATTTATTTATATTGCCTGCAGACGGACGTAAGTTCTTGTCACCTAATTAACATTCTATAAACTCCATACCTTGAAAGAATACCAGTTTTTCGCGCATGTACAAGTTATATCTGTTGTCCTTACCGATGAACACCCGTTCGATACTCGAAATCTACTCAACAATGGGGTCTGAATTACCCACCTCTTTCTTCTGCCAAGATTGAGTCTTAGCGTCTCAGTACATTTCTAGAATCAATTAATATCTGTTTTTACTCTCCTTCTGCTGTATCAATTTAAAATATTTCGTCGCTCCCGCTACATATTGCAGCCTAGTAGACGTCATTTTTAATTAAACATTCGTCTCGGAGCAGACACCGTTTTTATTCCAAAAGTTGCATGTTTTCTAATAATTGACTTTTCAGTTCTTAAGTATATTACTATTTTGTCTACTGAATGTGGACCATTTTCGGCATGTTGACAAAACGGCTTACTTACTTTATATTATTGTTGTTGAACAATTTTACCAGCATATTATCACCAGCAATACATATATTTATATGTATGTGTAAAATTTCAGATATTAAAACATTTGCTTTCATAAAAGCCCTCAGAGGGCGATACGCTTCGGCTGAGATAAGTTTTTCGTTTTTTCTTTTTATTCATATGTATATGTATGTTTGCTGTGTGCATGTGTCTGTATAAAAGAGAGAAATAGTATATATATATATATATATATATATATATATATATATATATATATATATATATATATATATATATATATATAATTACTTACATATATATATATGTGTGTGTGTGTGTGTCTTATAAAGCATTATTTCGTAAATGGTATGTTTGAGTAGACGCCTTGATTTAAATTATTTTTAAACCGTGAGAATAATTTGTAAACCGTTTTCAATTTACGACAACAAAATGAACACTGCACATTTTATATTTGTCACATATAAACTTAAAGTTTACGATCTGATACATCTTTAATATTTCTATGGAATTTTTAAACTTTCAATGCAATAAATCAAACACGGGGTTGGAAGAACTCCCACGGAGAATCACTAGCTAAGCCTGTGAATATCAAATTCTTCTTAATATTTTCTTTTTCCTTTGCCTAGAATTCTTCCTTGAATGTTAAATGTTTTGCGTTTGGTTTACAGGAGAATCTTTAATGATTGAGGAACTGACTATTATTCGACACCAAAGCCAATAAAGAATTCATCATGTTACTATCACTTCAATTACTAATGACTTGCAGAGAACACAGTATACAAAAGAAGCTATTTTCGCTGTTCTTAAAAACTACTCATCCATCTTATCTATATGTTTCTAACATTATATATCGACGTATATATATATATATATATATATATATATATATATATATATATATATATATATGTATGTATATATATATATATATATGTATATAATATGTGTATATATAATATATATGATTCTTTCTAGTATAAAATGTTTGCTACACTACAGAGACATCAAAATATTTTTGTGTAAGATATAACAATTTTGCTTACCTACCAACTCCAATTTCTTGTGCCAGACACAACATTTAGTTGGTAGAAACAGCAACTCTCGAAAATAGACACAACTTAAAAGACAAGACGACCAATGCATAAAATTTTAAAAGGAACAACATATTTATAACAGATGTATTTTCAATTACAAATGTGAAAAGTGCAAAACAATTGTTGTACAAAAGTCTACTTTTCAACATTTTCATGAGGTACAAAAAAAGATTACCAAACCAAAAAAAAAGAATATTTCATAATTAGTTTAAGAAAGAGATTCATGGACAAAACATTTTCCCTTCGAAAATAGAGAAAATTGGGAAAAAAATGAAGAAAAGGATTAAAACATCTGGCACAAAGCAGAAATTAGCGCCCACATCTGTTCTTAAGAGTATGCAGAATCATGATGTGAAGGGATTTGTATCATTTGTGTTATAAATTCCACTTGTTTGTTCTGGGTTGTGAAATCTCCAGTCGTAAGAATTTGCTTTGTATCAGTGAGGTCAGATTTCTGACCTCTGAGTGGATTTCCCCCCACTTTGAAGTATGGTTTCTATGCTCTGTCCGTTCTGATCAACGGCACATCCTTTTCTCCCCTCTTCTTCTCCCCTCTTCTCCTCCCTTCTTCTCTTCTCTTCTTCTCTCCTCTTCTTCTCCCCTCTCCTTCTCCTCTCTTCTTCTCCTCTCTTCTTCTCCCCTCTTCTTCTCTTCTCTTCTCTTCTTCTCCTCTCTTCTTCTCCCCTCTTCTTCTCCCCTCTTCTTTCCTCTCTTCTTCTCCTCTTCTTCTCCTCCTCCTCTCTTCTTCTCCCCTTCTTCTTCTTCTTCTCCCCCTCTTCTTCTCCTCTCTCCTCCTCCTCCTCTCTTCTCCCTCTTCTTCTTCTCCCTCTTCTCCTCCCTTCTTCTCTTCTCTTCTTCTCCCTCTTCTTCTCCCCTCTCCTTCTCCTCTCTTCTCCCTCTTCTTCTCCCTCTTCTTCTCTTCTCTTCTTCTCCTCCCTTCTTCTCCTCTCTTCTTCTCCCTCTTCTTCTCCCCTCTTCTTCTCCTCTCTTCTTCTCCCTCTTCTTCTCCCCTCTTCTTCTCCCTCTTCTTCTCCCTTCTTCTCCCCTTTCTTCTCTTCTCTTCTTCTCCTCCTTCTTCTCCTCTTCTTCTCCTCTCTTCTTCTCCCTCTTCTTCTCCCCTCTTCTTCTCCCCTCTTCTTCTCCCCTCTTCTTCTCCTCCTTTCTTCTTCTCCCTCTTCTTCTCCCCTCCTTCTCCTCTTCTCTTCTCTTCTTCTCCTCTTCTTCTTCCCCTCCTTCTCCTCTCTTCTTCTCCCCTCTTCTTCTCCTTCTCTTCTTCTCCTCCCTTCTTCTCCTCTCTTCTTCTCCCTCTTCTTCTCCTCCTTCTTCTCCTCTCTTCTTCTCCCTCTTCTTCTCCCCTCTTCTTCTCCCTTCTTCTCTTCTTCTCTTCTTCTCCTCTTCTTCTCCTCCCTCTCTTCTTCTCCCCTCTTCTTCTCCCCTCTTCTTCTCCCCTCTTCTTCTCCTCTCTTCTTCTCCCCTCTTCTTCTCCCCTCTTCTTCTCCCCTCTTCTCCTCCCTTCTTCTCTCTCTTCTTCTCCCTCTTCTTCTCCCCTCTCCTTCTCCTCTCTTCTTCTCCCCTCTTCTTCTCCCCTCTTCTTCTCTTCTCTTCTTCTCCTCCCTTCTTCTCCTCTCTTCTTCTCCCCTCTTCTTCTCCTCTCTTCTTCTCCTCTCTTCTTCTCCTCTCTTCTTCTCCCCTCTTCTTCTCCCCTCTTCTTCTCCTCCTTCTTCCCCTCTTTTCCCCCCTTCTTCTCCTCTCTTCTTCCCCACTCTTCTTCCACCTCCTCTCTTCTTCTCCCCTCTTCTTCTCCCCTCTTCTTCTCTTCTCTTCTTCTCCTCCTTCTTCTCTCTCTTCTTCTCCTCTCTTCTTCTCCCCTCTTCTTCTCCTCTTCTTCTCCTCTCTTCTTCTCCCCTCTTCTTCTCCCCTCTTCTTCTCCTCCCTTCTTCTCCCCTTTCTTCTCCTCTCTTCTTCTCCCCTCTTCTTCTCCACTCTTCTTCTCCTCCCTTCTTCTCCCCTCTTCTTCTCCTCTCTTCTTCTCCCCTCTTCTTCTCCTCTCTTCTTCTCCCCTCTTTTTCTCCTCTTCTCCTCCTCCCTTCTTCTCTCTCTTCTTCTCCCCTCTTCTTCTCCCCTGTTCTCCCCTCTTCTTCTCCTCTGTTTCTTCTCTCCTCTTCTTCTCCTCTCTTCTTCTCCCTCTTCTTCTCCCCCTCTTTTCTCCTCCCTTCTTCTCCCCTTTCTTCTCCTCTCTTCTTCTCCCCCTTCTTCTCCTCTCTCTTCTTCTCCTCCTCTTCTCCTCTTCTTCTCCTCCTCCTCTCTTCTTCTCCTCTTCTTCTCCTCCGTTCTTCTCCCCTCTTCTTCTCTCCTCTTCTTCTCTTCCTCTCTTCTTCTCCCCCCTCCTCCTCCTCTCTTCTTCTCCCCTCTTTTTCTCCTCCCTTCTTCTCCCCTCTTCTTCTCCCCTCTTCTTCTTCTCTTCTTCTCTTCCTTCTCTTCTCCCCTTCTTCTCCCCTCTTCTTCTCCTCTCTTCTTCTCCTCTCTTCTTCTCCCCCTTCTTCTCCCCCCTTCTTCTCCCCTCTTCTTCTCCCCTCTTCTCTGCCTGTTCTCTGATCCTCTATTTGGCCTCTCCTTCTATCTAACCTCTGTTCTGATAGCAGTCCTTTTTATTGAAAAAGTAATCGTGATATCAATCCCAACCAAAATTTACCATTGGCCAGAAATTATGTTTCTCATTAGCCAATATATATATATATATATATATATATATATATATATATATATATATATATATAACTCTCTCCAAGTATTAATAAAAACAAATCCGAAACACTTTGCCTGTTCACCAAAAGGTCATAAAAATGGACAGAATTTGACAAAACCGTCTCGCCCATCTGGAGAATAAACTTTCTCAAAACGTGTATATGAAAAACAACTTGAATTTACTGTATTGGGCAGCAGCTCATTATTTGAATATATATTATAAAATATGACAGAAAAAGTATATCTATTTTATCTAATCTTGAGCCGTTCTAATGTTCAAATGATGTTTTAATTTCTGGTGAAAATAAAGCCGAAATTACACGACATTTGGATATTTTTTATGAAGTTGTTCCTAAGTTTTTCTTAAAAAAACAGCCATGTACATAATATTTGACAGAAATTAGTTGATAACACAATAATACTCAGGCATACACACAGTAAAAATAATCTTAAGATATTGGAAGTTATCTACATTAAAACAAAGCCACCCACACTCAACAAAATTACATTTCAAACGAGTCACAACACATTAGATTTCATCTAGACATTGGTTCTGTTGTAATTCTTCGGTCTATCTTGAAATCTTGAAATTACGATCTGCTATTCCGCAACTGTTAACGTCGCATAGAAATTTTCTGTCAAAATGAAATAATATATCATCTTTGACGGTAGATGTCTTTGTTTCTTGTCTGTATAACCAATCTGAGGATGGCTCATGGGAGCCGAAAGCTTAGGACCAACTTAATAAAAAAACATCCAAATGCTCAACAATGTTTGTCTTTATTTTCGCCCGAAATTAAGGCCAACATTCGAACAATAGAATTGTTCATGATCAGACATAATTGACATTCATTGTCTGTTATATTTAAAAATATATGTTTAAATATGTATGCGTGCACGCGCGTGTATTCTCTTCATCTACCTATGTATTTTGCTGATGAGTCTCTCTTAGAACGACTCATAATCAGATACAATAAATATTCATTGTCTGTTATATTTTATATATTTATATATATATATATATATATATATATATATATATATATATATATACACACACACACACACACACATATATATATATTTCACTGATGCATGTTTCATTAAATAATATAGACAAGTTTTGTCTATTTATTTTAAGTAAGTTCCTTTCATATTGTCAGGTAAGCTTAATAATATTATCATTGAAAGACGAAAAGAAATCCCCATATTGATACATGTTTAAATCCAATCTAAGCTTTCGGCTTACATAAGCCATTATCAAAGATAACAATTGCTTTTCAATATATCAAACGATTACACGGACGAAACAATAATGTTTCAAAGCAACGACTATCTCGTGTTACGAGATGCAGAAGACAATATGAAAGGAACTTGCTTAAAATAGACAAAACCTTTTCTATATTATTTAATAAAACATGCATCAATGAAAAACTGCTGCCTAAATATACACAATTTAATATATATATATATATATATATATATATATATATATATTCTCTTCCTCTACCTATGTATCTCTCTGATTCTCTATCTATTTATATGTCTGTCTTATCTGCATAACTCTATCTACCTAAGCTATATATACATAGGAGAAACATATATATGAACATAAAAGGGATCTCATGCAAAATAACACACTCAGTGCATTAGTTGCTGATCGAAATGAGACTGATCATAATTTCGATGCACACATCTTGCTTAAATTAAAGCAGAAAGTAATTTCCTAAGCCGAAGTGTATAGAAAGTGCTTTGATCGCTAGATCATCCACTCTAAATCTACGGCCAGATTATTACAATATTTCATCTTTCTTTGCAGACCTCCTATTATCACAAAATGTGATACTTAATAGTCATCAAATGATGAAAAACAACAACATAGTCAGATTGAATGTATTCGGCTAGACTGAATGCCCAGACACATCTGAAAGAAAATAAACTCAATGAATCAATCCTTATCTTATGCATAACATTTTTGCTTAAAAATTGTTTAAAATGTGGTAGTCAGTGGGTGAGAGCCGAGAAGAATATGATGAGTGTGGCAAAGTCTCCTATCCTTTGTCGGTGAACTTCTGCAGTGCCTTCCTGATAGCATAGAACCGAGTACTGTCATGAAACAGAATTAGACCTCAAATATTAACTACTGCCGGTTGGATTTCGTTTAACTGAATGGCAGTAATCTTCGCCACTGATGCGCCGGTTAGATTCCAGAAGTCTTCAATGGATTACGCCAATGGCTCGTCACCAGTCGATGGTCTTCTGTGGGCGAAAACTATAGGAAAAGAGTCGTGAGCAGTTAAACCACTGAGGTTAGGGTTAGGGTTAGGGTTAGGTAAGGACCAGCAATGCGGGCCACTATTGCCCACTTGGTCTGTCCGAATTGCTTCATATTTCTGATCTGTATTCTCCACGGCAGAAAAGAGAGCGGTGTGAACCATTGTAGTGTCCTCTCGGACCGGTTTTCAATCAACCAGGACATTAAACAGAATTGTGTATTAGCTCAGACACTCTTTTCTCTATAACTCGCTGCTATGATCAATGTGGTCCATCCCTGGCATCACGAGAGTTGGCATCCGGTGCATACTCGACGGACTTCGTTCTCGGAAATAGAGTACCACCAACCGAGTGCGAGAATTATACTGACTACGATGCAACTTCGTATCAAACTCCCATTAGCATCCAAAGTTCGGCAAACCTGTATAACGAGGCCTACAAACGCTTCGGTATGCAGCTCAATGTTAAAAAGACTAAGATCATCATCTAGCTAGCACCCTGACAAGCAACACTTGTTGTCAGACGTAGAAGTCGTCAAAAAGTGTTTTTATATCTCCGACGATACGTTGGTTGTCGTAAATCACATTAATTACTCTGGCATGTCTTGACTTGACATTTGTCTCTTTACTTGTTTGTTTTATCTATATCTGTTTGTATACGCATATATACTCACATATATATACAACCCCATACGTACATGTACAGGTACATAGTATACTCATATACATACATTATTACATAGGTCTGCCCAAATATACATCCACTCACGGATACAAATATGTTGAACCCATTCTTACTTTTTCATGTATACATATTGTTGTAGCATACCTACGGACGATAATGGGTATGTCCCCATTCAAGTAAACACAGTAGTAAATACTGTATATTGGTCTGCGATTGGAAATTCATTGTGGAATTCACTTGACTCACTTCTAGTATGTGGCTACTTCTTCTACACGCCGCTGGCGAATTTTATATGTGCAGTTCTTTTCATAAGTATCATCATTCATTACCAACCTTCGTTTGATTATTCTAGTCAGTAACCTTTCTTAGGTTACAACACATATCAGGGCCATTAATATATACCTGTGCACACAGTAACCCAAAATGCGCATACATACAAAGACACATGATTGGGGAAACATATATATATATATATATATATATATATATATATATATATATATATATATATATATATAAAAAGTTTGATTAAATAATTCTTTCGAGTACACGAATTAAATATTTTGTAGCCGTATAAAATGTTTTTTCACATAATTCTTATTTTCCCAAATACTTTCAATCTCATCTGAGACCAACTTCAGGGGATTAAATTGTCTGTGGATGTGTATATGTAAATTTAAAATATGTTTTCACCGTTCGTTTTCCTACGTTTTGCAGTGTTCCAGGGTTAAATTCAAAAGGTTTTTGTTCTCATGCAAGAGAGTTAAATTTTGTATTATTTATGATATATATATATATATATATATATATATATATATATATATATATATAACTTTGATACTACAGACATTTAAGAACTTTGTTGCTATACTCATAGGTGACTATATTTATTTTGGCTTTAATTCTCTTATAAGATTTTAAGTTTTTGCTTGTAATTATTTTGATGGAGTATTGCTGTATTTTCAACTAATATCGCGCTAAACTGAGAATATGGACATGAGTGTCTATTTAAATGCCCTGAGATTGAACTATTCTCGTTCAAATGAAACATAAGCTTTCTTGCCATCATTGTTGTAACACCAACATATTAACATTTTTATCAGAGATGTAATCTCCCCGGGAGCATTTAAATTGATATACATTGTTTGTTTTTTATAAGATGCTAGTTGACGGAGAATAATTATTTTGGGCGACTAGATTGGTTGAATTAAATTTAGTAATGTATATAAATATTTTCTTTTTACTTGGATCAGTGGTAGATATATTAGCGTTTATGAGTCTTTTTAGTAATTTTTTCCTCCGGCTTATAGTTAGAATGCATTTGATTACAGTTTAGTAGTTTAATGTTTACAGTTAATTGAGAATGTATTGTGTTTATTTTTACTTATGTTTATATTCCTAATGGCTCATCTAATTTCTTCATCAACGATTTAATTAGGAAAGTCATTATTAATAATGGTTTGTTTAATATTTTTTTTAATTTCGTGTAGAAAATCTTTCTTGTTGAAAAGTCTGATTTTGCATGGTTTATTAAGTTTCGTATAATAGCTATTTTGGTGTAATTAAGAAATTAGCTTTTATAGTTGAGAGTGCGCGTGTTTATGTTAGTTGCTTTTATATGGAGACGTAGTAAATATAGTTTTATTACTTAGCAATTTCTACATGACTAATTTAAAAAATAATGTAGTCAATAGCACGAAAAACCTCCATTTAGCTAAGATATGTAGATGACATTCTTTTTTTAGTCAAAGACATAGATAAAATACATGAACTACAAGAAATATTTCAAACTCCTTACTTAAGTTCATATATGAACTTAACAAGGAAAAATAAAATTCTGGTTTATTGATAGGGAGTAATAATAAAGCATTTACCTGAAGATGGTTTCGGGTGAGATTAAAAGTAATTTGGAAGATAAAAATTATTTGAGAGAAAATGACATTTTTCTTAACTAATTTTTAAGAATATCAAGAAATTAATTTGTAGACATGAAAGGATTAAAACTAAAATAAATAAACATAATATGTCTAAATTATTTAACCAAATCTGTTTGGATAAAAATATGCTGTCTAAAAACACACACACACACACACACACATATATATATATATATATATATATATATATATATATATATATATATATATATATATATGGAATAGAATCAGCTACGAATTCTGTAATAATGTTTTCAAGTGCCTATGAAAAGAAAAGTTCTCACATTTTGATGACCGCATGACCATGACGTTCCAACATAAAAGAAAAAATTCCATGTTGGAAAATTTTTCACGTTCTAATGAATCCTAAAGCTTAACTGCCAGCTGTTGCATTGCAAAATGTACGAAATCTGATCAAAAAGTATCGGGACTGGTGCTATAAAAAGAAAATGACACTACATATCAATTCGGCATTTAATCTCCTTCGAAACAGTCTACTTCCGAAGCCACACGATATATGCAAAGTCGTTTACATTCATGGAAGAATTCCTGGAACTCCTTATTTGGGGATGGCGAGCAGATATGCCATCACATTCCCTTGGATCTTCACAATGTCTTGAAGTGGGATTTAATTTTCGAAGTGCAAAATGTCGTAAAGTTGCGAGGTCTGGATAATTTCGTAGTTATCGTACCTAAGGAATGTGGTTAGTCAAAACTGCTGCACGAACCATGGTCAATGTTGCAACCGCTGTGGTCTTGTGCAACGACCAGACTCTACACACTTTCCTTCCAAGCATTGTTAAAAAAGCCAAAGTGATCGAGAACGTTATAACGTAGTGTGTATAAGCGAATGAGATCACGGAAGGACTTACATAAGAACTACAAAAAGGCGAATAATAATGACCTCAACATAGTTCGGAATATCAATACTAGCAGAAAAGAAATCACTGATAAACTAAAGATCAGTGATAGGGTAGGTCAACTATAGGAAGAAGAATGCTACATTACCTTAAAGGACCACAAACCAGATTTCGAGGCTAATCCCACTACAAGGATAATAAATCTTACAAGACATGATATCGGAAAAATTAGTAAAATGATCCTTGAAAGGGTAAATAAACAAATTAAAGAAAAAATAAGCCTGAAACTTTGAATTAATACCACGTGATAATCTGGTTTACTTATATAAAAGAAAAAAAACAATTATACACTAATGCAGTTTAATAGTGGAAATTATTACCAATCAATATCTAAAGAACTGTTCATGAATGCGTTGGACTTTGCCGCCCAGTACACGGATATTACAGAAGAAGAAAAGAACATGATTATGAATGCGAAAAAGTCGGTACTGATACATAAAGGTGAGCAATGGATAAAGAATTCATATGACCACTTTGACATCACAATGGGATCACTAGACTCAGCTGAGTCTTCTGATCTCATAGGTCTCTTTATATTATGCAACCTTACAGCGCACCATGATATTAATATAACTAACATTGGTTTGTACAGAGACGATGGTTATATGGTTATTAGAAACACTACTAACATCAAAATAGATAAAATTAGAAAAGGTATTATATAAAGAAGTTAAAACCATGGGCTTAAAAATTACGGTTAGCACTAAATTAAAAAAAAATTAACTTCTTTGATATAACATTAAATTTAAAGAAAAATACATACACACCTTATAAAAAACCCAATACCAATATACAGCCTAAATCAAATCACCCCCATCTATAATTAAGCATATACCGTTATCTATCTGAAAAAGAATAAGTACAAATTCAGCAAATGACAAGATTTTTGATGAACATATTAATTTCTATAATAAAGCTAAAGTTACTGGCTACAAAACCCCAAAACTAACTTATGTTAAAATGAATATGGAAAACATAGAAAAAAACAGAAGTAAAAAAAATAATTTGGTATACGCACCCATACAATGAAATGGCAAAGAACAAATTAGAACAAACATTCCTCGCATTAATAGTCAAGCATTTTCCTAGTGAAAGTAAACTAAGTACTATTTCAATAAAAATACACTAAAATTAAGTTACAGCTGTACTGAAAACTCACAAAAATTATGAAGAACCATAATGCTAATATCTTAAATAAAAACTTATACCAAAACCAAAAAAATTTAGACAATGGAAAAAAAAACAAAAAACAAATGAAGATAAACAAAAATTATATAACTGTAGAAACCCTCATAACTGTCCTTTACAAAATAAATGTCGCACAGAATCATTAGTATACCAATGCAATATCTCTTCTAGTGAAAATCGTGAAAACATAAATATATATATATACAGGTTGCACAAGTCATGAGTTCAAATAAAAGTTCAACCTATATAAAAGTTCATTTAGGATAAATAAAAATAAAAATCAAACATCTCTCTCAAAGTACTTCTCGCACATAAACGAATCCAATAAAACACCTACAGTAAAATGGAAGTTAATAAGAAAAGCTAGAATATGTAGGTCATTAAATGACCCATGTCCTTTGCGCATACATGAGAAACTATGTATTACTAAGTTTATAAAAAATAAAGATTTACTGAATCAGGAAATGAAATAGCTATTTTGTGCCGTCATTGTCAAAAATTTTCCTTAAATAATATTTAAAAATAAAATTAAAATGTGCGACCTGGTAATATACATACTTATATTTGATGTGAAAATTGTTTTATATACTGTAAGTAATGCTATTATATTTACTTGTTTTATAAAAAAATATAGACTATTAAAATTAATACTGAAAATATTTTAAAATTGTTTTTAAGATTGTAGTTAAATAAAACGAATTCTAACCTAAACATCTTTTAAAATTGTGGTTAAATAAAACATATTCTAACCTAAACACCCCTCTCAAAGTACTACAAGCACTTAAAAGAATCCAATAAAATACCTACAGTAAAATGAAATTAATATGAAAGCTAGAATATGTAGGCATTAAATGGCCCATGTCCTTTGTACATACATGAAAAACTATATATTACTAAGTTAATAAAAAATAAAAGGTTACTAAATCAGAGAAATGACTTAGCTACTTTTTGACGTCATTGTCATAAATTTTACTTAAATAATATTTAAATATAAAATTTTAAAAAAATGTGACCTGGTAATATACATACTTATACTTGATATGAAAAAAATAATTTTACATACTGTAAGTAATTCTGATACATTTAATTGTTTTAAAAAGAAATATAGTCTATTAAAATTAAGAGTAAAAATATTTTAAAATTGTAGTTAAATAAAACGTATTCTAACCTAAACATCCCCCCAAAATCTTTAAGTATACAAATAGAAAAAATAGCCGTAAGAAGTGTTTGCCGTTAACAATATTTTTTAAAAAAATCCAGACGACATGCATTTAACGGGTGTCAGAATTCGTTGAAAAATACCTCCCTACCCCTACCAAAACGTAACTAATAACGGATACAACAAAATATAGCGATAATGAACACGCAAACACCCCTTGTCTAGATGAGTGGACTTCTCTGCATCCTTGGAAACATGGATTATGAATTTTAGCCGTGCCTTTAAAACTCAGTAATTTTTAAAATAAGTTACTCCAAAATTCGATTGAGGATGAAATGGAACTAATGTCTTTAATTTAATTATGAAATTAAATTCGAAGCTCTTAGCTTCCATTTCTGATACATGGTTAGAACTGTGTAACGAAAAAAACACATTTTAAATCAGTTAATTCATACTATTAATGCTCTGTAAATTTATATTGAGCACTATTTTGTAAAAATAAAAATAAAGATATCTATAAGAACACCGGATTATATATCTTACTTTCTTTCTTTTTATATTTTATATATATATATATATATATATATATATATATATATATATATATATATATATAAGTCATCCACATGCAACATGTGACCTCTTCAAGCTGAAATCAAAACACGATAGAGAACTTCCCACGGCAGAGGAAGGCGCACCAAATCAGTAGCCAAAAGCGCTAAATTGATTAAAGAGTTATGCGTTAACAGCAGGAGCAAACGCTTCTCTATAGTGTTCAATCGGCAAACGAGAGCATGAGCGGTGGAATTTTTTAATACTGTTTATTATAAACAAAGCATTTACTAAAATATTTGTATCTATAAAATAAATAATGTATAAACATAAAAATGTCTTAATACACACATTATTTGGGCTATTGTCCTCATCTTTGTCGCCATATTTATCACAACGTTTCGGCCGTTGTACGCTACGGCCTTCTTCAAGTGGTTGGAATGTCGAACTGAACCATTTATTTCGCTCACTGGGGTAGACTGTTCTAGTTCCATGTGCCATGTTTATTGGATATCAGTTATCGCCTGTTAATTTCCCTCTGAAAGTTCTCCACTGCCTTAACGGGGTATTGAACTCACACTCTTTGGGTCCTGTCATTGGATCTAACCAACGCCTTTATCCACTCCGCCATCACTCTAAATATTTTTCAAACATTAAAATACGTATAGATTTCATCAGTATTTTATCTACTGAACACATATGAAGTCCCTACGGAAAAAGAAACTAAATTCGGATTTAATGACATCAATAATTCCAATTAGTGAAGATGGAAACTGGAACGTTCAAAGCATCATTTTTAAAAAACATTTATAGAAGGTTGTTTATTATTTCCTTTACGTAACAAGGCTGTGTTAATGCCGCAAGTGGTAATTCCTTGAACTACATCACATGATTTTGGTTTTCACCATACTCGTAGAAAATGTCTGCGGGGCGTTTAGCATGATGAATTAAATATTCCAGATTCCGAAATTGAAGCAATTCATATTGTATTGGCATAAAACATCTTGTACACTCGATTAGGTGAGTCATATCTATCTATCTATCTATCTATCTATCTATCTATCTATCTACCTATCTATCTATCTATCTATCTATCTAAATTTATGAATATCTATCCATTTATTTATTAATCTAATATATTAATATCTATCCGTTAATATATCGATTTAAATATATTAATTTTCATCTACCTAAATATATTAATATCTATCTATCTATCTATCTATCTATCTATCTATCTATCTATCTATCTATCTATCTATCTAATGTTCTTTCCTATCTATCTATCTATCTATCTATCAATCTATCTATCTATCTATGACTGTTCATTATCTATCTATCCTTGACTGTTCATTATCTATCTATCTATCTATCTATCTATCTATCTATCTATCTATCTATCTATCTATCCTATTTTGTTTCGTATCGAGACAAATATATCTATCTATTTATCTCTCTATCTATATCCATGTCTATCTATATAAATTTATTAATATGTATACATTTATTTATTAATCTAATATATTAATATCTATCTATCTGTCAATATATGTATTTAAATATATTAAATTTTATCTATCCAAATATATTAATATCTATCTATCGATCGATCGATCTATACGATTTTGTTTGTTATGGAGACAAATATATTCATAATCTATCTATCTAACTGCCTATATATATATACATATATATATATATATATATATAGAGAGAGAGAGAGAGAGAGAGATATTTATGTATCTAGATAGGTGCACAGAACACAGTAGGATATATATATCCTACTTTCTAGGATACATACACACACACACACACACACACACACACATATATATATATATATATATGACTATCTAAATATATGAATATCTTTGCATCTATTTAAATATATAAATATATATCTATCGGTCCATAGATATCTATATTTCTATCTACCTTTTTTCCTTCTTTTCATATCTATCTATCTATCTATCTATCTATCTATCTATCAGTTTGTTCATATCTATCTATCTATCTATCTATCTATCTATCTATCTATCTATTTCATTCTGTTCATTTTTATCTATTTAATTATCCCTGCATAGTTGCTATTTTGTTTCTTTCTTTTATAACGTGCATATTTAATATTAAACCTTTCCGTGCAAATATACATCTATTGTCATGTAAGGAAATAAATGAGCGGGAAAGGAATAGTGAGATAATTATAGACCATTATGATTACACCTTCAGATTGCCAAAAACCAGAAGCCATCACTATGCCAGCAGACGCTGCCTGCTTGAACTTCTTCGTTTTCTTGAGTCTTTGATACAGGTTCGAATTAATGAATGCAGGTTTCATTTTGAGTTACTAATCCGCGGTGTAAATTCTCAGGGTTAACCTGGAAGCGAGTCAGACGTGTCTTGGAAATCTCAAACCTTTTCAGCTTCTGCTCTGCTGTCAGCATTCTTAGAACGCATTTTGCAAATGTTTGCTCATCCCCCAAGGTCTCAGTTAAAACATTATGGACCGAACAAGAACTAATGCCTATGGACTTAGCTATTCACTGGACCGTAAGGCGTCTGTCATCCAAAACCATCCGGTGAATGGCCTCACTTGTTCATCAGTATTTGAGGTGTTTCGACGATCTGAATGAGGATAATCTTCTGTGTTGTTCCTCCTACGCTTGAATTCTTTAACGTTGCATAGGAAGAAGGGCCCTCAGCAAGTTCCTGTGCCATGTCCTCATGAATTTTCTTGGAGCTAATTTACGATTGATTGTAATATAATTGACACGTAAGAGGATTTTAGATTGCATATAAGAAGAAAATTACAGTAAGAAAATGCCTACATGAAGTAGCAAGAGCAGTTGTCATGTTAGTAGATGTACTAAGGAATTTACAAATGTTAATGAAAACAACGCAAAACAACTCTAATGGATTTTAGAAACATTTCTGAATCTTTTCCTTATATTCAAGCATTTCAAATATATATATATATATTCATATATATATATATATATATATATATATATATATATATATATGTGTGTGTGTGTGTCTGTCTGTCTGTCTGTGTATGTGTGTGTGTGTGTGATTAAATTACAAATATTGCGTCTGCTTGTTTTTATCACAATTCTTTCATATTCACGACAATGTGAAAGGATTTCAGAAAATATGAAAGGATTATGATAAAAATAATGTGTGTGTGTGTATATTCGTTTATTTTGAATTAGTGCAGTATGACAGACATATATAAATGCAAGTAAGAGCACTATATTGTGTAATTTCTAGGAATCTATTCCAGTAGACCATAGTTTTGCCTAGATGTGTCTGTCCTCACTGGGGATCCCATATCAAGATGAGTAATCGCCTATAAGGTCAAGTGTTTAAAATCATTCATTGCTAATAAATTCTATTAGATCGATAACTGGTGAAGTGATTTCAATCTCTGCGGTTTCTCTTCGATTATGCCCTTGTGGCAAACTTAATTATATATATTTTTTTTCTTTGGATTTATACGTCTGATTAGAGTTACTAGTAAAATTAAATGAACAGAGAAAAAACGATGGTAAATCAATTCTCTTCTGTCACCATTTTAAAAATCATTTTCATGTGTCTTGTTCGACTTGAAATGTTTCTCTATGTTCATGTGTGCATGCATGTATATGTACGTGTACATATACATACATACACACATATGTATGTATGTATGTATATGTACGTGTACAGTTATACAGTTATATGTGCCTATACTGTTGTATACATTTCGCGATGTTTGCTGGAGTCATTCTCTTCACACTATTCGGATATGTTCGTCGGTCGTAACTACGGTGGCTGAGGCAAATCCTGATAAGACTAATGACATTTTTCTTATGTGTGTATCTGGTGTAGTGTTCGGTCGGTATGACTGTAGATAAGATAAAACAGTATTATCAAAGAACAACTGTTAGAATTTTACAATTCTATACAAAATAAATGTAAAAGAAAATATAGAAAAATAAATTTAACAACTTTACGTATCTGTTGAAAAGAAAATATCTAATTTTCTACTCTAACATGTGGAAGTTTACAAGTCCTGATTCTTAATATTTGACGTATCATTACTTGATTAGTCCAACGTTTGAGTATACTATGTAGCAAATGTCTAACTGCATCTATTCAAATATGCAACGTTTGTTTAATATCTTTTTACCAGCTCAATGGGATAAAAAAAAACAGGCTATTCACATTCAAAGGTTCGAAAACTAAGCTCGTGATCTTCCATCATCATCGATCGGAACCAGAAGAAATCAATCGCGATGAATGCATATTCCCTCAGGCAGGCCATGTACTATGAGTGCCTATTAGGAATTAAACTCAGAAGTGAAACATCCATACTTTCCATCGCTAAAGATGCTGGACAAATGGTCGGTTCCAGTACGGCTCCATCAAGTGTCCTCTGTTATCCTCTACATTTAAAATAGCCAGAAGAGGCCGGAAATTGTGTACTACAACCAAATATGGGCAGAGGCTATCCATTCTTTACTGTCAAGTCTCGATATTGTCCAAAATCGTAACGAATTATTTTCCACCCTATAACCACTTTCAGAAAGACGAGACGTCGCAATTCTCTCGCAACTCAGTCGCTGTTTTCATGGGGAATGTTCAGATCAACTACATTCCTTAGATTAAACTATTTAAATTATTAGGACTATTGTCTTCATCTTTGTCGCCATATTTATTACAACGTTTCGGCCTTTCACTATTTGTCTATTTTTCTGAGATGAGGTATTATGTACACTATTTACATCATTCGGACTATTGTCCTTATCTTTGTTGCCATATTTATTACAACGTTTCGGCCTTTCAATATCTTTCTATATTTGTGAAATGAGTTATTATGTACACTATTTACATTATTCGGACTATTGTCCTCATCTTTTTCGCCATATTTATTACAACGTTTCGGCCGTTGTACGCTCCGGCCTTCTTCAGGTGGTTGGAATGTAGAAATGAACCTTAAATTTCGCTCACTAGGGTAGATTGTTCTAGTTCCACGTGCCATGTTTTAATGGATGTCAGTTATCAGTTATCTCCTGTTAATTCCCTTTCCAAGTTCCCCACTGCCTTAACCGGGTATTGAACTCACACTACTCTAAATAATGTACATAATACACACAGTTTGCCGATCCACATTCATTCGTTTCGTATTCCATTGGTGAGATATAAGTACAACTCGAACAGCTTCCTCCTATGAACCACTGCTTTGTGGAACCTGCTCTCAAAATGTTGTTTCTCCGATCACTACAATCTGAACCTGTTCATGTCCAGAGATTATCTTCCACGCTTATCCGCATAAGATTTGCGTCTTATTCTCTAACACTTTACCTAGAATGGCTCTTGGGCCTTTTACAGGGTGACTATGATTGCAAAATAAAATCTACGGATCGGAAAATTTCAACACTTCTAGCTATTACGAAAGTTACGAAGATGCGACACTTAAACGAGAACAAGTGACACGCAAAAATGTGACACTCGATAACTACGAAAGCGATGCATAAACGTAGAAACATTACCCTCAACACCAAAATCTCAGTGATTTTTAACGATATCTTGAGTTGTGAAACTGACAGTCGCTATTCTGTGTTGATATCTATGTCCACGCTGCCTATAACTACGAAGGCTTTACTAATCACGATAATACAATGTAATTACATTTTTATGCATGTTTCTTTGTGTGCGTTTGTGTGTGTTCGTGTGTGCGCTGAGCATCTATAAAATTCGCTACTAAACAAAAGTATATCAAGATGAATAACACTCAACAAAGATTAAAATATATTTCTTTCTCGTAGACATTTTGCGAAAAATAACCCAAATAAAATGATGTAACTAAGTAATGCCTTAGGACAAGATGTATAGCTGTTGTTGTATTTTAAAAAAAAATGTTTAAATCATTAAATTAATTAAGACAGCGATGAATTCAAGAGGATCAGGCTCAAGGATAAAACTACGTTTAGAAAAGAAAAATAAACACTTATAAAAGGAGAATTCACAATGAGGTCTATCCTCCTTTCGAATGAGTGTGTAATCCCCAAGCAACAGTAACTTTCCTATATTACTGAAATGTGCCATCGGGTAATTCCTTTGCT